TGATTCGTAATCGATGTCACTTTGGAATATCCAATCTTCGTCTCTCTTAATTAATCGAGTATTTTATAACTGCACCTGCGGTTGGAATTTAAATATTTTATTTAAACTAGAAATGCTGTGCATTGCACAATTCTTGGCAAAGAAAAACATCCAAAGGTCGCAAAAAAGAAATAATAAGCGTGAAACCATCGAACGAGCGTTAAAATTTATATTAACACTTTCGCAGTCAATTTTTTTTTTTTCACTACTGGGTAGCCGGATTCAATGAACTTACACGTATAATCGATTAGCGCGTTGTTATAAATTCAAATTCTACTTGAAAACTGTGAATTTAATGCATGGACTTTCGTTCTTCGATATTGCTAAACTTTTCTTTTTAGCGAGTTATACTGGTTAGCACGCTTTCGTTTTAACATCCGTAATTATCGATCCATCCGTGGTATATTTCTCGAGAAATGCAGATGTAAGTACTTCTACCATTATCTCGTTCCCTAATTACCACGCGATCAGTTCCCGTAGCGGCGATAACTATACAACTTAATCGCGTGCATAAGTTAACATGTTTCAAACGGTCATTTCTCTCCATTATCCTGAATAATGACGGACACACCGTGCAATTATGATTCCCCGAACTTTTAACAAGAATCGAGGAATACTCTGCGCGAACGTTGCTGTTGAAATCGTTTGAAAATTTGATTTTTTTAATAAATTTCTGATAATAGCGGTTCCTTAACTCACTCAAACTCATTAACTATGATTCATAGCGTTCGGTAGTCGATCGGCTAACGGAAATTTGTGGCCTTAGCTAATTTCGAGTCGTCGATAAGGAGCAACCTGCATCGCAGAAGATTGAATAATGCACCAGAGCGATTTGTGCGAATAACAGGCGCGAAACGTTTCAAGGCTTCTCGCTGCTCTGGCCATGTATGCGCGCTTAACGATCTTAAATGTCTCGGTACCGGCTTTTCATATAGGGTAATACTTATGTCTCGTTAGGGTCGCCGGTGTCTTCCTCGACGAGAATCGCTTTTTAATCGATTCGTGAAAATTGGAAGAAGTAACGTGAAATTTTTGGGGTCATTGTACAAAAGTCCTTTCATCGGGATCCATGAACCGTGATACGAGATGCGTCTTGTCCTCTCGACCGTGCACGGAACGTGCGGTCGATTAGAAATTGGTTCACTTTCGTTTCCACTCGAGTCTCTGTTCCCCCCCCCCCCTTCGATTCGAAACGAACACTTTCCCGACTACGACAAAATGGTACCATCTTCCATAACGTATCGTCCTCGGTTTCAGATAGATATTTTCTTACGATTCCGTAAGGATTCGTTGGAAGAAAGCTCCTGATCGGTGGAAAGTTTGCAAAAATTCACGGTTCAGGAGACAAAGCATGCGCACGATTTTCATTAACCTACTTGTTTCCGGCAGGCCTGGAATCGAGCATCCTGCCGATCCGGTAGACCTCGATCGAGCCTCTTACCTTGCCATCGGCGCGCGTTAATGGCTGACAATGTAATATCGTTCATATGCATTAACCGACGCTAATTGAATTTCTATGAAAATTGAATGAAATTTTTTTCTTTTATTCGAAATTTAATAGAAAACCGCGCGTCGAGTCCCGGGGAAACAGGGAACTCCTATCTCGAATCTCGATGCAACTAGAAACGATTTGGAAATACGGTTGCACGATTCGCGAGGAAATTCTTATCCAAGAGTCGAAAATCTGATCTCAGCAAGCCGATTACGCGAACGTCTCTTTTTAGTGCAATAACTTCCACTTAACGCGATTGGTAACGAGATTAATTAGATCGTGGTAGATTTTGAGCAACGCTGTGCATCAAAGTTTCTATTGTGAGCGGTGTTCCAGGAACGATGCATGAATTTTCGATGTTTTATCCTAATTACGCGATTACCATGCGTTTTATTCCTTCGAACTTCTTTCCTGAGAAAATAATTCAACGATGCGAAAAGGTGACCACTGATTTTGCACCTATTTCTTTTAACGAGTTACTTGTTATGAGAAAATAGTTCTAGCAGATTCATTGGAACAACGTTGCATTGTGTAGAGAAAGAAGGTTCGCTTCCCGGGTTGGCTCGATTGGCAGAATGAATCTCTCTTTCTGTCGTTAAATAACAGCAGTTTAACTTGATTGGTGCACCCTCGTCCTCTTTTCGAGTCATTATTTATAGAGAGGAGGAATGTGTGGTGTAACGCACACACAGAGACAGGAGATACCTTTTCTTGTTTCAGTCGATTCTTTTGTTACGTCTTTCGTTACGTTGTTTTAGAATTCATTTATTTGCTCAACATTGTTACAGGACATAGGTTGATACACGAGTTAGTTAAGCAGTATGGGTCATCGTGACCCAGCTATAGATTGTACCGTTCGAAGACTAACATCTGCTCTCAAGTTTTGCGCAACAGATGTCGGCTCTTTTTTTCGTGGCCTTAATTTCGTTTGCTCTTTTTATCATCGATACCGACCCAAATTTTCAAATGGCTTTTTCCTTTTCTTTTTTTTCGTCATCGGATCGTGTTTGTCCCCTCGAGGAGATCGAGAACGTCGTCCGGTTCCACGTGTCTTCGACGTTTGCTATCGATTCCATAAGTATAATTTAAATAATAAACTTTTCAAACATCGATGGAACGGTTTCGTAAAAAACTGATGGTTCCTATTAGTGGCACGCATTGTTTCAACTTCCCAGACGATTTTAATCTCGGTCGCTTTTCAATGGGTCGTTACGTGCCTCATAATTCTCCAGTGAATCGATCATTCTCAGAACGCTTTCGAAGCAAGACTTTATCCTGTGCATCGTAAAGCTGATCTCTTTTGGCACCTTTCGAAACAGGAAGCCCCTTCCCGGGAATGTCCATGAGAATATTAAAAAATATTCATATTCCGTTCGTGATCCGGTCTGTTTCCCTCGAACGCAGCCTACCAATGAGACGATTGCAGCTTTTTGCAGGCATGATTTGTTTGTTTAAAGAAAGATTCACTGGGACGAGCAGCGAATCTTAAAGAGAGAATATATTTCTTCAACGACGTATCATACAGACTTTTGCATGAAAGTTTTCAAAAACTCGATGATTTAGTCGGAAGATTGTTCTGTCATTTTTGTAATTGAATCGTCTTATATTACAGTAATAAAGAAATACTTAATTTATATATTGAATAAAAAGAAACAAAATGCTGCTCTCGTTTTCAGATCATCATCCTTTGAGCAATCGTTTCGTGTGATCATAAAAAAGGAAAATATCCAATCGTTCGAAATTAATTCATGATTTTCCTAATCCTGATCCATAAAATAAGCAGCAGATGATATTCATTTTATAAATTCCAACTGTCGAATACCCGTTACTATTTCCTCCTAACTGTTCATCCCATTCCGTCTTTATTTCACCTATCCCCGTATCGCGGCTCTCTTTAGTTAATATTATTAATTAATAACTATCGCTATATAAACGGTACTTTATTATCAGGGATAATTAATCACAGATTGACTTGTGTCGTAGTTCGGAGCCAATCCTCGTCGTTGTTAATTTTTGTCTAAATACACTTTTTATGCAAGCATATCGTTCGATGATTGCGAAACAAGTTTCTCTACTTCTTCTTTTTTTTTCGTTGTTAGAATTGATCGAACGCTTAGGATGATTCGATGGGACGTATGCTAAATTGAAGAGACGCTTTACACGTTTCAAATGATAAGATGGCAGTGTGCCTGGAATTAATCTTTTCTTCCCACCCTTCCTGGATTGTTGAAAATTTTTACATAAAATGCAATAGATGCAAGATTTACAATTATCTTTGAAGCTAGTGCAATCAGATGTGTAATTTATTTAATAGTGTCAACCAGTTAATCAACTTCGTTTTTTCAAATAACTCGCGTGAACTATGAAACCGATCCATATGTGCATTCGGTACAGTTATGAGGTCAATTATATTGTAATTGGAATGTAGCTCAAGTTTATGAAGTAGAAATTTATGAATCACTCTAATAACACTATTGAATTATATCTGTGCCAATACAGCTTTCCACTCTGATTATGTGAAATTTCATTATAAATTTATAGATTTCTACCAGCTTTCATTAGTCTAAAATGAATTCTCGGTATATGATGAAAAATATTTTCAAAATAATTCTATGTAATTGCAATAAAAATCGGCTGTAGCTCCGAATACGACCGGTCGCCAATCAAGGTGAAATTTTGAGGGGAATGGGGGGGGGGACCCCAAATATAAAGTAGTATCTGCGGCTTCCTATTAGTTTCCGAGATATTAATTAAAAACTTTCGTACAATACATAGAATTTTTCCTATACAGACGCAACTAACACTACCGTCTTCGCTGTAGCAACCGTCATCGTCAAGTGTCGAACAGCTGTTCACACCATAGCGATATCGGCTTCCATTTCTATAGATGTTTCATGTAAAATCTATTTTTTTAATTACATTACGTTATATTTTATATAGGTAGGACACCTTATAGATAATCAGATCGGAAACCCCGCTGTGTCAATGGCTATGGTGTGAACAGCTGTTCGACACTTGACGATGTCAGTTTACACAACGAAGACGGTATAGGAAAAATTCTATGTATTGTAGGAAAGTTTTTAATTAATATCTCGGAAACTAATAGGAAGCCGAAGATACCAATTTATATTTAGGGTCCCTAATCTTTCATCTTAATCTGCGACCGGTCGTATTCGGAACTTCATCCTAAAAATCAAGTCTCGCAGTCAGAAAAATACGATGACCAAACAGTTTGCACTTGCCTCCCTCTTGAAAGTCTTCACCATTGTCAAAATGACTCACCCTGTATATTACCCTGCTGTGTTCCCATCTGTTCCCAGTGTCCATGGGGTCCCGTGGGCATCCCCTTCCCTCCCGTTTAGGGCCACGTAAGTCGACCAATCGTTCTCTCCCTTGCTGTTCCCCACCGTCCTCGCTGTTCCCGCTCGTCGACCCTCGAGCGGTTCCTATACAAAGACTTCGTCCGGCGGCTGTCGGCAGTTACTCGCGAGACGTCCAGCGTGTAACCCGCGGCACAGCTTCGTTTCCTATTCATAAAATCACGGTGTCTTCTTATCACCATCTTCCAGGGTGATAAGAAAACTATCAAACTTTGAGATTCTTTAGTGCTTTTGTGAAGTTCTGTTTTGGAGCACCTGGCGCAACAGGTTCCCAAGTTGTTCGTTGCTTTTTTCTTTTTTTTCTTTCTTTTTTTTTTTCTAAGGAAAACTGGGTAATCGAGGAAAATTTTGGTGAAAGTTTGAGAGACAAGCGGAGAGAATTTTGGAGAGGAATCGTGTAGTGATTGGTCAGTTTGAAGAATTGAAAGACAATTTTTGGAGCAGAATTTGAATGCAAAGTGGTGGATTTTTATTTTATTCAAATTCACAAATTTTTAATTTCTCAGTGAAACTAACTGTTTAAACTTATTTTTAACCCGAACATCCTATTGACGCACACGGTGATTCATCGAAACCGATCATTTTTCTCTTTTCTTAAACGACTCGTCGAGTGATCGAAACGACTGATAATTATCGAAAATTCTTCAACGAAGAGAGGTATTGGGGGACCGGACGTTACGGGACGAGCGAAGAATTTCGAGGATTCGAAGGAGAGACTGGAAAAAATCGACGAGGTCGTCTCGAAGGCGACTCCAGGCTACCTGGCACCGATAATCCAGAGAAGAAAGTTCGTTTCGGAGCTGCTGCATCCGGTTCGAAGACCACGGTTACCCACCTTTCTTCATCCCTGAAGAACTTCATTGTTTCTGATTCGCGTATTTATGGAAGAAGATCGAGCTGGAATGTTGGTGCGTTGACGATTCGACACGTTTTCATTAGAGTGCAAGAAGCTGGAGGATGAAAGGTGACGAGTGAAGTTTTATGGTCAGGATTGAATGGAGCTGACTGGAAAAGGTTTTGATCGTCCTTTCAGTTGGACGATTCCTCTTTTCGTGTTTCTAGTGAGTAACATGAATGTTGATCTTGAAATAAAAGTGTTAAGTAGTTGTTACAATTGATTAACACTGGAGTCAAAATGACTGGTTTCAAGTTTCTCATTTTAAATTATAAATATTATCGAGGTATTTTGTCGAGATGAAAAATGGATGTTTTAGTTTTCTACATTATTTTCAATTTAAAAATAAGTGCATCAAACGTCGGTAGTTCCAGTATTAATGAATTGGTAATTTTTCAAATTGAAGCTATTAGAATTGTATGCATAGAATTTTTCAAGCTCGACAATCGTTCGCTACGCTAATTTGAGTAACTCTATTTATCAGAGAGCAGGTACTTACTTTGGAATCTGTTAACCTTGAAACTGCTTTTTATACCGATACGCAAATTCACTCAAACGCGTCAGTATGATTCATTCAATGCCCGGGAAAATTATTATTAAGTTAGAAACGTTACTTTCGATTTCTCTCGACAATTTATGCCCTCTGTATTTCTCAAAAGACCCAATGCGTTTACCTTTATTCATCTATTCTTTCTTTTCTTATGAAAAGTCATGTTTATTCTTCACTGTCACACTTTGTTTTCTTACCTTTTCATTTATCAACATTGCTAATTGATTTTTCTTAGCAGACGTGTTTTGTTTCGCGTTTCGCGTTGAAGGAATTCTTGTTTTGGTCTGCGGCTCACCGGAAGTGCTTCGTTTCTCAGCAAATTAAGCTTATTCAGTGTGAAACAGAGACTAATTCATTTAACATTGAAATTCTACTGTATTAATTTCTATTACGCGTACAATAATCGTTTGTACTTTTAAAATGCTATGTAAGATTCGTATCTTTCACATTTTTATTTATACACGTTGCATTTGCGCCAAATGGAAAGTGAAATTTCAAACGAAACACTTCCCCTCTTGTTTCAATTAAAATTTATGAAACGTTGAATTACCAAGGACAAATTGTGCATAATATTACAATTTTCTTCATTTAATGATGTCGTTCGAGCAACGAATAATTAACTTTGCCGCGGGTAGTGATTAAAAGTATCGTACGGAAATGAATAACACGATACAATCTAAATTCTCAATTTAGATTTTATCTCCCTCCTGTTCGGAATCCAGATTTTTTTTTATTATTAAAGCTCTGAACCAGCAGGATGTTTCTGAAGGAGAAATATAGCAAAGAAGAAGGGAATGCTCGAATTATTTTAAATGTAATCAATAGACGCACGAGTCGATAGATCGTGATCTTCCGAGCGTACAAGTTTATTTCTTCGCGAAAACCGCAGAGCCCCGAGTTCCATATGAAATTTACGTAATTACAATGCGATCGAGCCTTCTCTCGATGTCGATCGTTTCACGGTTCATAGCAATTGTCCCCAGAAAACTACCGTTAAAGTGATCGTGACCTCGATCGAGTCTCCATAGATTCTGTATAGATCCGGGTTGATCGTCTGTACAAGGTATCTCAAAGAAGCTGTACCTGGATCATGAAAACTCCATTTTCCCGGTACCAAAGCAAAACCTTCTTGATTAAAAATTGCATGAGATCAAATTGAGGAAATGAAAAACGATCGAACAAGGTTGTCGAAAATTCCAAGCTCGCACGCGACTATCTTCTGATACCTCGCAAGATACACGGTAGATATTGTAAAAACGGCGTTTTAATGCGATGACGCAAACCAGATATCATCTGCAACGTATTATAATATAATGTGTAATCGAGACAACGCAATCTGTGCTACCAGCGTTTCGTAACGTTGTTTAGCATCGACGAAACAGGGATAGATCGTTATTAACATAAGCGTTGAACGATTCGTTTCAGCTACGCGAATCCTACGTGGACGAAAAATTGCGAAACGTTGATGGATTTTATTTGGATGGTTCACAATGCGTTAATACGCCTACGCTCTGAACAATTGCCAAAATTCTTTGATTTTTCGAGGCAAATTTAAGCAGCTCGCTGGTACGATCTCGGTAACGGTCTTGCGAATTGCTATCGAGCCACGATCGCGGATTAAGTCGGTCGACTCTCTGCATGCGGCCCATTTAGACCCGCGTCTCGTCTCGTCTCGTCTCGTCGCGGTTAACCCGGTCGCTTACCTCTTTATCCCTATAAATATTGCGGCGAATCGTTGCGTGGGTGCGATCCTTTTACTCTCGACAGCTTATCGCCTCCACTTTTAACGCGGTACCATCGACGCGGATTATTTTGGCCCGCGAAAGCGTACGCGATTGCTACATAATATGGAGGTTAATTGGACTGGTTCGGTTCAGTCTGATTCCAGATGATTCATCGCCCGATTCCTTTTCTTTTCTATTGTTATTTTCGTGGTGGGTAGCTTTGAACGATGGAAAATCAAAATGAAAATCAATCAAAGTTGTCTCGTAAGAGATCGGATACGTTTACGAAATTACATAATTGCATTTCTTTATAAGAACCCTTTAAGATACTTACTTAACCCTTTAACTGCGGGTGTGGTTTATAAACATGTTAATTTTTGCTGATATCAAATAACGGCTGTGGCTTAAAATAAAAATAGAATATCACTTCAGTAATATAATTTAAAATTAGTACCCGCAGTTAAAGGGTTAATCTACTTTCTGCACTCTTCTGACAAAGATGTCACACATTCCTATGATTTAAAGGGTACCCACCCCTGTATACCTGTAAATCAAATAAATAAATAAATAACGTCAATGTTGAACATTGACGAATAAAAACGTCGCAACGGTACTCGTGCTCTAAGCGTAGGATAACCGTTCAGTTATCCCTCCGGCTAAAAAGAGAGAGAGAGAGACGATGACGTGCATACAGTGGGTAATTTAAAGTGCCATTTGCTTCCTGTGGAAGGGAACAACGTCCCCGTTTCGACATTCGTCGTGCACCAGCTAAGTACTCGCGTGTGACTGTTCTAATTGCGCGTACCCGGCTTGTCCTCCGCGCGTGTATCAGCTTAATCGCATGTAGCGGCTCGCTTTTCGATACGCATACACCGGTGCGTGATTATTAAACGATACGTGGACTGACTGTCGCCGGGAACGAGAACGAGACGAATACGAAACGAGCCACTGGTTCACGGTTACGAGCTTCTTCGATTCCTTTTACTTTCTGCGGTCTGGCGCGTGTCTCGAACAACGTCATATTTCAACCCGATCTTCTTCTGCTATCCGAATCGTTACACTGATTGTCCTCAGCTACTGAATAAACGCGTGCTTCGTGCGATACGACGAGCTCGGTCATCGACGCTTAAACCAACGACTTCCTTCTTCGAATTTTCTCCTACGAAGTCTTGCTCCGTTCAATTATCCTTAACCCCTTGCCGTACCATTTTCTCACCATTTGCGTCTGCCAAAGCTAACTACTCGTTGCTATAATATTCTGGCAAATCAAGGAAATTGATTCCCCGTTGTGCATACTTCAAATTCAATTATACTTGTAGATGCGTCACGAGTCAGATTCGTCAAAGTACGTATCTTGATAGAATGGAACGATATGATTAATAAAATGGCAGATCAGATGAAAAGTAATGCCCGATAAGATCTTAGCCGCGAAGACGCGTTACTCCAGGTTATCTATAAATACCGCGAGCTGATGAGCCTTTCACCAATCACTAGATTGACTTCGAATCAAGATATATAATTAAACGACGTATCTCATTAACATAGCGGTATTCGTCGTTTACAGTATCCAGAATGGCGTTTGTAAATGTTCGAAGGACACGTTGTAATACTACTTTCCATAACTATCGTCGGATTCCATTATGGTGATGCAAAAACCAGTGCCATCGAAAATACTTTTTCTCTTAAAAATCGATGCTCCTGGAGTTAAGGATACTCGGTCCGAAAAATGAAATCCTCGCACCTCGCGAGCCGATTTGCATGCAAATTTATGTGTCGTTATGCGTTACAATGCGAGTACAGTTACATATCCGGCGGTTGTGTGCCGCGTACGAAGCTGTTCGAAGAATCCGTCGAAGCAGATGCGAGCGGTATCCGGCTCTCGCTGGGAATCTAGCGGGCAAGATTTATTACAGGGTCCGAAGGGTTCCTTGGTGCGTGCAGTCCCTTCGACCTTACGTCCGCCAGTCACGGGATACCGGCAAAAATATAAATAATTGCGAATACAGTTATCTCCTATTGTTTAAATAATCGAGAACAATCTATGATCTCTATAAAAATTGAAACTGTCGATGTAAAAATATTTTTGAAAAAAGAAAAATGATCGAACATTGATCGATGGTATCGGCTCGCATTTGAACGACAGGACACACGCGACGGAGCCTATTAACGAACGGAATGGGAGTTCGACATAACCGGCTGCGTTATGTAGACGTAAGAACGGTTTGCAGGAGTACACGAAACACGGAACTTTCGGTGTTGAAAGAATTCAGGCATGCGTGACACGTAACGCGCGCGGCCGCATACGATCACGGACGATACATCGCGAAATGGTTGTATCTCGCTCTCGAATCGCGAAGATCGACGAGAAGGATCCTTACCGAGTGAAATCGTCTCTCCGCTCCTTCCTCCTCCTTTCCGTCCGTCTCTCCCCCCGGCTCTCGTCACAATTAGGGTTAATTAGTACGCGTAAGCGAGAAATCGCAATTGGAGCAGACATGTATATAGCAACAGCATCATCAGCTCGCTCTCTCCTCTCGGCAGACTTTCCATGATACCTCGAACAGGACATTCTTCCAGCAAAACGTTCGGATTAAATCACATTTTTCTATTCTCCATGAAAGAGGCACACTGACCTCTTTCAAAATTCATTCCTTTATTAATACGTTGAATCGTGGGATCGAGCGACTTGCACTGCTTGATAGAAAAAGAAAAATAATTTATAGCATTATACGTGTGGTAATTATTATTTTTTTTTTTTTTTTTTGCAAAATCAGTGGGTTTTGTAATTGTGTATTTTTGTCAAAGGAACTCTCGTAATGTGCCCCATCAAATCACCAGTTTTCTATTACAATGGATAGAAAATAAAGGAAAGAATGCTGGCGTAAAAAATTAGGTGTATCAAAGTACGTGTACACAATGTTCATTTATTATAGGATCCTTTCGACAGATTCTCGCGCCAATTTTAAGGGTAATTTCCAAGTGAAACAGAAACAGAAACGTGGAATCGAACGTTGGTGGAATAAAAATCTACTCTGTCGACGGAATGCGAGCCTCTTAATCTCGTAAACGAGGCACGGTATCGTTATCTCCTTCGCTGTGTTTCCTATATCGAACAATTCCCATCGGTTTTTTGGCTCCGGTTCGATCGACTACCGTTGTACGTAAGTACTCAGGTATTTGCCCCAGGATTTGTCATTCAAAGAGTCACTTTAGACTTTCAACTTTATATCGCTCTGAAGATTTAGGCGAAGTAGCGAAAAAAATGGATAGAAATCCAAGTCTTGGCGCGTTAGTTAACGTACGCGCATATTAATCAGCTGTGGGATGATCAGATAATTTATCAGCGAGAGTGGAAAAACAGTTATCGCGGTAGAAGCAACAAGTACCGGCGAAGGACGAGCGCGAAGAAGGACGTCCTTTGTAAAAACGTTTTTCCACGCTGAACGTATGTAATTACTTGCACTCCTCCGCTGTGCATAATTCATCTCATTTGTTAACGAGCTACCATTCCCACCATCCTGTACGATGAAACAAATGGAATAAATATGCGCATCGCTTCGAGATTTTACGCGGATACGCGAAAACAACGCGGTTTCTGACCCTTTGCGATCTGATTCCATTAGAATCATGGTTACTCCATTATTAACGATCATTTCGTAATACGAAAGAGTTATAAAAATGAATTCAATAATAAATTACTTGAAAATCACTGAAATTTTTAATGCAGAACAAAATTTCTTTTGCATTTGAATTACGTATCCGTGATACTATTCTTAGAAAATATGACTAACATACGAATGCTCTAAAATATCTGTAAAAAAAGGAAGCAGAAGAAGGTTATCCAAGATTATCTTCACTGGAATGATAATAGATCGAGAAGAAGAGCAGAGAAGTCGCGAGATCGATCTGGCGGCCTTCGTTTTCTAAATAAACCATTCATTTTTTTGCGCTGCTGCCCCTGACCATATACTTCCTGCTAATTTCACGCTCGTAAAATTTCTCGTAATTCATCGTCGAACGGGTTAATTGGTAGGGGAGCTACTAATCAGAGATTTATACAGTCGATCGTGCATAAACCTGGTATCGTGGCCACGACCCTGAATTTCTATCCTCCACTCTCTCTCTCTCTCTCTCTATCGTTAATTAGTCGCTTTGACGATAAGCTGTTCGATAAATACCGAGCGATTTCGAGCTACGCCCAACAGTAGCACGTTGTTTTTCTCTTTTCATCCAGTTTGAAGCCGATCGAACTGGGAAGGTAAGCGCAAGCGCGATTTCGTTGTGAAATCTCAATAAAGAGTAATTTTATCAGCAACGACCAGTCTGGTCGAAGTCGCGATCGATCAGCTGATATGTTGAACTGTAGAAGAAGTGGGACCGGTAGCGACGCGAGAAGGTCGATTATGATCGGAAGAGAAGCAGCATCGAATGAATCCCGAATCGCTGCAACCGGCCATACTAGACCCAGAGAAACAGTGAGACGCGGACACTCTGGGGATACGCGTGGAACCGGTTATGCTGATGGCAAACTGTTTTTCACCTTTTGCACCTCCCTCTACCTGGCCATCGCCCCTGCGTTCGCTGCTCTTTCGTCTCGCGTCTGGATACCTTGTCCCTGCGTCTTCCATCTCATCCTTCGTTTAGAAATTCGGCCTTTTCGCGTAATTAGACCGAAGCCAAGGTGGTCCCACGTATCATCTATGAATCTAGATAAATAACCGATCCAAATCATTATACTTTCCTCGTAATTTATATTACCAAAGGGAAAAAAGGGAAAATTTCTCACATCCTATTTCATTTGCGTTTGAAATCTTCATAATCCTACGAACTCGATCACAATAGATCATTCGTCGTTTCTCAGCCATTGTCTAGGCGGATACATTCCATCCTTCGCTTACCACACACCGACACTCTCAGCCCACGTACCGGCGGTTTTATAAATAAATAAACGGCGAAACGCGTTCGCAATGGACGTGAAAGCCAGCGTAACGTGTCCGGTATCGTTTCTGGTACCTTGACACGGTCGACTCGTTTCAGATAAGCTTTACCTTCTCTCTTATCGTTCAGCAAACTTGTATGTCACTTTCCACGATTATTGGTTAAACGTAAAATCCTTAGGGTCAAGGATAATCGTAATAAATTGAACGCGCGATTGCGCTGGATCCAACGTAGAAACTCGTCTTCCGGTTACCTTCCACCGGTATTCAGTTCACGGTAATAACGTTACGAACGAGCGATCGTTGTTTCGTAACTAATAATCTCCGTTGAATGACGTTTTTGCGTTCAGGAAAAGCCTTCGACAAGTGGTATCTGTGCAAATTGGGGTCGTTTTATTATCTTACCTTTTCGAATGTACATAGATACGTTGAATTACTGTTTCTATTTCAATGCTGGCTAGAAGGAAACGTTCGATTACGATCCTCTCGTTTCACCGGTTGCGTCAACGGTTAGGACGTCAGGAAAATGCTTCCGGTTATTATCGTCTTCCTGCCGAACCGACGCGACGAGACCGGACTGATGATAGTTCTTTCATAATCTCGACGACATCCTTCGGGACATCCTTGCGTTATGCTCTCTCCTTTCTCGATTCACCCTTCGCGTTCGATAAACTTTTACTCGTCGTGATTTTACGGATTTCAATTAACTTTGTTTAATTCTTTTAATTGTCAACTGTTTCAGGCGCAACGGGTCGCGTAATTCCGCTCGGAGCCATCGGGAGGGCCGGTGCCGATCGATACGCAGCTAGTCAAACGAGGCTGACCAAAAATGATGCAGAGTTGCAACGGCAGGGGATCCAAGTGCGCGAAACGCGCCCTGGTATTCGCCTTCGTCTGGGGCTTGATGATCATCGCGGCCGTGCAATTCCGTTACATGGATCACGGCCTCAGAGAGACTCCAACAGCCGAAGAGGCATCCAACGAATTTCTTACGGACGATGTGTACAGACGTGGGGATGGACCGACCAACGATAGAGCCTCTTCTAGTTTGAGTCTATCCAGGTATCTCCTCCAGAGATCCTCCGCAGACGCCAGTTTCTCAAACTCGGCTGGCTCTAACCTTCTGACCACCCTGACCACCCTGTCCAACTCCCCCACGAAGAATCCTCTGGACCTGGAACCGTTACTGGACAAGAGACCCGCGAAAACTGAGGAGGAACTGATCCAGGAGATCGAACAGAGGCTTCCTAGTTTGCCTCTTTCCTATTGGAACAAGAACAGCAAGTTCGCTGGGGTGAAGAGTAAAGGAAACAGCAGCTGCTCGTACCTCAGGTATCCCTCCATCTACGACATCGAATTCAACAACGTCTACTGGCAGACGATGAGGACCAGCAATGGTACCTTTCAATTTTTTGGTGCCTTTTATGACCGTCGAAAGTTGTCCAGGATTGGTCCGGCCGTTAGAATAGTCGGCATGATCGACAGGATCGAGCCCACTGTTAAAACCCACTGTCAATTATGGTACGATGGAGAAAGAGAGCCAAAGATCGTTGAAACTCTGGAGTACAAGTACATCTGGTACTCGAAATGGGGTAATTACAAGCAGGGTATCTATCAGCCTTACGTGATAGCCTGTAAGATACCTCAGTCGCATTGGCTGAAGGGTCCTCCAGCCTCTGTGTCCATGGTGGAGAAACCCTGCGACACTGCTACCAATAATCTTCGAGTGATTTACAACAAACCTGAACGCAAGAAGGACTTCGCAGTCTGCGTGAAAGGGTTGGATTTTCTTCACGAAGATTTGTCTGTTAGATTAGTCGAGTGGATCGAGCTGATCACTCTCCTAGGTGCTGATAAGATCTTCTTCTATCAATTGCAAGTGCATCCGAATGTGACTAAGATCCTGGATCATTATCAGAGGCTGGGTAAGGTACACGTCACCCCTTTGACCCTACCCGGTGGACAACCGAACGTCCCAGCCTTCCAGCATATGTATCTGACAAAGAAGACCAATCACAAGAGGCAGAACGAACTGATTCCTTACAACGATTGCTTGTATAAACATATGTACGAGTACGAGTACATAGCACTGTTGGACGTGGACGAAGTGATCATGCCTGTTCAGGATGACACCTGGCAGCAGCTGATGAAGAGGGTCCTAGCGAAGGCGTTTAAAATACGGAACGAGACCAGAGCCTCGTACAATGTGAGGAACGTTTACTTCCTCGACGACCTACTGCACTCTCATGGCTACTTCAAGGACATACCGAAGTGAGTAAACTTGCCACTTTCACGTGGTCGGTCAAGTGGATAGGAGGGAGATAGGAAGGTCTTCGAAATATGATCGATTAGTGGTCATCTAGAAAGCGATACGATATCTGTACAAATTTGAAAATTATTGTTAGTTAATTGCAATTTCTACGCTCGTGGCGTTTGTATTCCCTTTTCGTTGATGAAATAAGTTTCCCATTTCGTAAGTTAGATGATTTCTGCTGTATCATTAAGGATATTAGGAAATTTTAACGCAATTGCAAGGCGGGTCTGCCGTTCGATTAAACAGCAATTACCAACTATGTAATTTCATTTGATTAATAACATTGCTCAACGTTACGTTCAACCTTCTGTGTATCCAAATACAAACGTTTTTATTATTGGATTTAATAGGAGGAAAGATAGGTCAAGATGAATGATAAACAATGTTTTTTATAAAATTGATCATCAATTTATCTAGCTCTGTTAATTAAATTATCTGCTGTCTTAATTTACATATTCATATGTTCTTGAGGATTTTAATAATAAAAATTAATTATCATATTATACAGTTAGGGTGAACTTGTAGAAAAGCTATCCCCTCTTCGATTTCGATGATTTTTAAATATGTTGTAAAATTCGACATTTTAATCAACTTTCTCAGTATTGAAATTAGGCTCATCAGGAATGTAATTCCTATATTCTAGGATTGTCTAATACAAACTACACCGCTTATGAACCATCAACCCCATAGCGAAAGGGTTGATCAGCCAACGGCAAGCTCTGAAACCAAATGATCCTCTCTGTTACAGGTACATGCACATGCTCCAGCACGTGTATCGTTCGAAGAACTTCACGAAACCGAATCAGTACATCAAGTGTTTCCACAATCCTGAAAGGGTAGTCACGTTGCATAATCACTTCCCTCTGGCCTGTCTCGGTGCTGGATGCACCAGTTACCCCATAGAAACGGAGGACGCTCAGCTGCAGCATTATCGAGCCGATTGCGTGAAATCGTTGAAGAAAACTTGTACGCAATACCGGGAGAACAGCGTTCTAGACACGACTGTCTGGAGATACAAGGATCAACTCATCGAGAGGGTGACGAGGACACTGGAGGCTCTCGGCTTCTTCGGACCCAGCTAGCGCCAACTACTGTCTCCAACTTCTTCCTCTTCCTCCTGAAACACTCTTTGACGCGTCCAAGTGTACTAGATTATTTTCGAAAGGAAACAAGTTCGCTGCTAAAGACGTCGTCGTCCGCTTCGAAGAGTGGAACTCGAGACGAGACGTTCAGGTTTCAGCTTGGATGCTGAATAGCTGCTGCACTTCTTTTTTCCTTTTTCATTTTTCTTTTTCGTTTCTTTTTAGAACCCCGAGCATCCCGACGAATTCTTCCGTCGCTGCCGATGTACAGGGTGAGTGAAATCAAAGAGGGTAGAATTTTTGAAAGAACGCGCGGCAAATAATGGGTCCAAAATTGTATATTTTTCTTAGAAAATTCTTATAAACAAATTAGAGATTTTCTCGTTAATCAGAGTGCTGTAGAATGTAACGAAACTCGAGCGATAGAACGTTCTGAAATTTAAGTAGCGCACCTTCGCCGGTTAGTTTCCGTCGTAGCTGAAATATCAGTCGCGAGAATGTTGTAATGTCGAGCCAAATTTTAACCCGAGGAGGAAAAAGAAGCGTAATCGTTCGTTTTCCACGTTTCCGCACGTTCGAAGACGAAAAGGCTGTGTAACGATCGGACGGAACGTACGACTACGATTAGGGTATTCCTTAGAATAGTATAGATTAAGGTATTTTTCCAATTTGTGCCACTCGACGAGGATAAACTCGGTTACGATACTTGCTAAGTGGAAGCCTCGAGACCTTAGGATGAGGAATGAATTTTAAAAAACGAATGCGCTGTCCTTCAGCAAAGTCGTGGTTAACGATCGCTCTCGAGTTGATTATACATCGATATGACGTTCGGTGCAATTTTTTTTCTCGGATCGAATGTCGTCGAGCGTGACCGAAAGAGCATCAATTACAGCTGCGCTCGATGATTAAACGATAATCGAAAGAAACTCCTGTCTTTGAATAAAATGGGACGTTACATCGATGGAATATCAATAAAAATAAGAATTTTATGTTCAAGATACACTTCGAACACTTGGTCCCTTTTATTTTATCATTGTCTTTCGAGTTCTCAAAGTTATGCAATATTTGAATATTTTCTTTGAATATTTATGAAAATCGAACATCGACCAAATTGTCCCAGAGTTTCCATTTCGAAGGAGAGATAAAGAAAACGTGAGATCGAAAGTCGGTCTCCGTGATGCTTGGACTTGCTCAACCTCATCATGGTCAAACGTTTGCGAAACAACGTTCGATTTGTTCATCCTGAATGATGAAAATCGACAAGAACTCACTCTACTCGAGTTGGCAAGGCTTAAGTGAGTTCTTGCTGATTTTCTTAACGTCTATCAATAGCATATTATGATTGTATTTCCATTTAGATGCTCTTCTGATTCGGTTTTCCAAGATTAAGGAACTCGAGAGAATTTCAGGTAGCTCTAGGGAACCCTAGGTGATCCTAAGGAATTATAAATGGCGTAGAAGGGAACCCTAGTGTCCTAAGGAACTATAAGTGGCGTTGTAGGGAACCCTAGGCGATTCTAGGGAACTATAGATGGCGTTGTAAGGAACCCTAGACGATTCTAGGGATCCCTAGAAAGTATTTTCCAGAATCTTACGATATCTCGAGGAAAAGAATCTCGTTTATGACAATTCAACCAATTTATATCAATTTTGCGACATATCCGATTGTCAGGTCAGTCGAGTTCGAACTTAAGCGAATCCTTTCGAAGGAAATCCCATCGTTCCATGGATGTACGAGTATAAATTATACAAACAGCGATTGCGAGGTGAAACGATTAAGAGTTTGGTCACGTAAACGGAGGATGACACAAAATAAATCGCCCGGATGCAAAGACATCCTTCGAAAAGTTTCGCGATCCGTTCGTTTGCGTATCTTATGTCACCGGTTAAGCGTGCTGCGAAGGCTAACTATATTTTTTCAGCTTCTTCAACCTAATTCTTTGGTAAGGAAACTTATTCCTCGTATCCACCATGGGTGCCTGAACTTGTAGTCCAAAGTCGTAGATCCATAGCTGTCAGGACTCTATGGTTTTTCTCGCAAAACGTAGATCTACGACCTTCCGTTACAAGGTGATAAACGCGAAGGAAATGAGCGAATAAAAGGCAGGGATTTCAGAGAGGAATGAAAGTATATCCACGAAAGAAGCCGTGCTTTCTTCCAGTGCGACGGGTGCGTGTTTTCTTCGTAACTCGGAGCGAGTTCTCGAGAGCTCGTTCTCCTCCTTTTTTGCATGGTGAACCTCGATCGCTTTCTACGCGACACGATCGTTCCTCTCGTTTCCATTTGACGAGGTGAGAGCGCGATTGACGTTCCACCATGAATTAACATATATCCAGCTAGATATGTAATATTGTTACGTGTATATATTTATCAATATTGATCGGTTAACCGGCTCACCTTTCCGTTCGAAGAGAATACTTGAGTAGCGAAAGGTTAAAGCTTGCGCTGAAAGTCTTGAGAATTTTATGTAGGCTTCGAGGAAATCCTCTGCGAAGAGTCTTAAATTTTATTTTTCCAAATACAATGCGTTGAAAAGCAAACCTTTTCGGCAATAAAAACTTTAAATATAATTTTTTCTCTTAATGCAAACGCTTTTCATTTAAAATTATTCTTAGTGTTAAGATGGACGACGAATTAATTAGTCCTCACCGGTTAACGGGTTAACGCGTGCAGCTCTTCGAATCAATATTTCTACGAACGCACAATGATTTATAATGTTAATTGATCAATGTAAACATTAATATTGTATAATTATACGTGTCATTGTCCTCGACGAGCGATCGCGACGATCAGACAGACTGTTAATATTTAGGCTCGATTTCGCTGAATCCTATAACTAAACTATTTCTAATTATCTGGGATGTTTCTTAGTTCTTTTTTATGATTCTAAGGAGCAGCAGGGAGCTAAATCGAGCGTGAAAGTGCCTCGAATTGTTGAACGCGAAAGCAGTATCAACATTGACCATCGACCTTTCGTTTTTTTTTTTCTGTAAATACACAAAAGAGTCGGTTGGGATAATAATAAAGTATTAAAACATGCACGCGTCCTTTTTCCTACCTCTTATCAATCAATCTTTTCGTTAGATTGAATATATAAACGTTTATGTGCTCTTAACAAGGTTTGTACATATCATTATTAAAGTTTTTCGAATAATTATTAAGTTTAAAGTAATAAATGGTGTTAAATGTTTATCAAAATATTATTAATAGATCATTCTTATCGTAATAAAAGAGTCCATTGTAATTGTTTTAATGTAATAAGTTAAATAAACTGGAAGTATTGAATTATAACAAGTTTGAATTTCAAATTTCTGCGCCCTTTTTAAAAATCGTACAGGTGGCGCCATCTAACGGTGAACGGCGGAACTAGGAATTTAGAAAATCGCGATTTTCTCAAAAATTAGCAATTTTTCGGCATTTTGGAGGGCAGGAATGCATTCTACGACCTCGAATTAATAGAAAAAGTGACCTCACAATCGATTTTACGTCCTAGAATAGAAAATAGAAAAATAGGCCGTTTATGGACACACAAATACTAGCGGCGCGTAGCGGCGAAAAGTGGAACTAATTTCAATTAATTTTATATATGGGCCGTGCAATGCTTCAGCTTTTCTCGATTTTTAGGCTTATGTGGACCTTTTAATCCCTAATTTGGCACGTATTAAGACGTTAAAGGTTCATTAAATTAAGTAACGATGCTAAATCTAAAATAAATAGGCTGTTAATTGAATTAATTAGCATGTGGTCAAAGAACAACGTCTAAAATCAATTAAAACCTAATTTTCTGGATATTTATTATACCCATTAAATGAAATGAACCTTAGTGCTTTTATTCTAGCAGTCTGATCGCCTAAATCTGCCTAATAAGTGTAAAAATCCAAAAAATGTAAAGCATTGTATAGGCCATATGTAAAGTTAATTGAAATTAGTTCCACTTTTCGCCGCTACGCGCCGCTAGCATTTGTGTGTCCATAAACGGCCTATTTTTCTATTTTCTATTCTAGGACGTAAAATCGATTGTGAGGTCACTTTTCCTATTAATTTGAGGTCGTAGAATGCATTCCTGTCCTCCAAAATGCCGAAAAATTGCTAATTTTTGAGAAAATCGCGATTTTCTAAATTCTTGGTTCCGCCGTTCACCGCTAGATGGCGCCACCTGCACGATTTTTAAAAAGGGCGCAGAAATTTGAAATTCAAAAATACCTAAAGATCGTTTTAATCTATTATTTCTTTGATATTATGATATTTTATTGCTAAAGGGATAAATTATTTACAAAATAAGCAACTTTGGCTGAGGATATACATTTATTTAAAACAATTATTCTAATAAATACATTATAATTCAAACAAAAGCATGAAATTTTTAACAAAACACTTAGATGATATGAAAAATGACTTAAAATTGAATAAATGTACATTAAATTACTATTTCTAAATTATTTCAGAAGGATACTTCAAGAACTTATCCTAAAATTACAAGTTTTTAATTAATTTCAATCAATAGATCACACAAATAAATAAAAACAGGACCTAACTTCTTCCCTCTTTGATTGTTTTAAATTAAAGTTTAATTCTTACAATTCTAAATCTACGATAATCTAATGAATAATTTCTAATTTCTATTTCTGTTTTAAATCTTAATTAGGTAATTAGATGTTACAATTTAACGAACAACGCATTATTTAATCGTTTTTGTCGAGTGATTGTAGGTGGATGGGTGATAGAGCGTCGCCACCAGACGAAATTTCAACGATAGCATGGGTGGGATAAATTTGGAATCGACCATCTCGTTTTGGACGAAACATGCGTATGTTTTACGTTAGTTCCGTCGCTGTTTCGCGTCGAGGAACGTTTCCTCAACGTGCCCGACTTGACGTGTTCAACCAGAAATATCATCATAAATATCAGTACCAGTTACAACACATTTCCTAGTGCATAAATCATTAGTGGACTATGACGTTTAACATAAACAACGCATTTACCGTGTGATCTAACATATTCTTCCATTTACAATTAAAAAATACACACGTAACTATAATAAAACGAATGAAACAGGGCTCGAAAACTAAGTAGAAACGGTGTTTCTGTTGTCAACGCATCAAGACGACAATCGTGAACGTGATAAATAGATATCGTTGTTGGTTGAAGTGGAATTGTGGGCACGGGAAGATATCGAAGATCCAACGGGCGAAGGTAGAAAGATTCGAAGAGAAGCACGATGGACGAGGAGAAGAGAAGTTGAGTGTGCTTCGAGGTGGAAAGCACGATGCCACGTTCACGACAGGAAGCGTTCGAGCTGATGGTCGAGGCAGAGAAACCCTCGAAGTGCATCAGGTTCCTGCGACTTTTGTGGAAGTTCTTCAGATGCGTTTTTTCCCACGTGTCGTTGATCTCGTTGGTCGTACTTTATTGCGTGATCGGGGCGTACGCTTTCGAAGCCCTCGAAGCAAACCACGAAAAAGAGGTACTTTTCAGGTCTTCTTCACTTTACAATTGTAAAATGTTACTTGAAGTATCTGAAAATTTGTTAAAAGTTAAATATTAGCATTGCTAGGGTTCTCCATTATTCTGTTGATTAATTTAATATTCCTTCCCTTTCTTACTCTTCTTCTTCTTCTTCTTCTTGCTATTTTCATCTTAATTCTATGTTTATCTGTGTCAATATTTCTTGTAGGCATTCTTCTTTTGTTTTCCCCTTTTCTATTTTTCACTCTGTTTCTCTTAATCCTCATTCCTTTCTTTGTTTCATCATTATAGATAAAAAGAAACATCAAAGACATAAGAGGGAACGTAGCAGAACAGCTCTGGAAGATCACGAAAGAAGTCGAGGTTCTGATTCGTGAAAATTGGACGGAGAAGGCGTTGCGAGAGTTAAAGGTACCATTTTCATCACTCACGTCTTGTAACGACCATTTCTCTGCAACGTATGCCTATTTTTCTCCACAGAGTTTTGAGAGCAATCTTGTGTGGATGATGGAGAAAGAAGGCTGGAATGGCAGCGAGGGAGAAGATGATATTCAATGGACTTTTGCTGGTGCCCTATTTTACTCTATCGTGGTTATAACAACTATCGGTAAGTTTCCATCGTTTATTTATAATATATCATTTAATATGACGTTTCGTTACTCGTCTTTGGTATTCTATTTTTTTTCCTAAGATAATTCTACATATACATTCATAAAAAATTAATTTTCCATCTTATCTCCTCTAGCTTCTAATCTCCATACATCCAATTTATCAAATTAAAATCTGACAACCTAAATACGAAACCTTCCTTTTCACATTTGAAACGAATCTCCCTCACGAGCGTGTCATTCATAAGAGTCGAACGAGAGGATTGAAAATTCCTCGAACGAGAGAAGACTTACAAAGCGATCTAATAAGAAATGTCTCGTTGTAAATCGTGCTTTAAGCTTTTTCACTGGTGCTTGACTCGCTATCGGTCTGATTTCTCTTTAGCGAACGACTGTAAAGGTCGATGTCGTAGTCGTAATTCTCCTCGTAAGGGTTGCCGTGGGGTCTTGGATAAGGGCTCTCCCCCGAGGAATGGTAATTTCCAGGATATCTATTGCCGGGATAGAAGCTCCCTTGTGGTCTTCGATTTCCGTAATAGTTTGCCGATTGCGCGAACATCGCTGGCCCGTACTTCTGAGGTGGTCCCTGAAATATGGATTTCCTGTGTTTCATTTCTGTCATTGCTTTATAATTGCAATTTATTTCTTGTCGAACTTACTCGATGAGGAGGATATTGTCCAGCTCCCAATTCAGAGACTAAAGCAGGATACTTCTTGCTGTTGAAGCAACAGAATTTCTTATCCTTGGAGCAACTTCCCTGGATTACAAATATAATTAGAATCCATATAAACTTTCTGAATAAGTTTATGTAAATCACTTACGAATTTCAAAGCAAAAGAAGGGCAATTGAAACTATATCTGCATCTACAGACGTCGTAATCTTGATATCGTGGATCATCTTTGATTGAAGATGGGAAGAAAGCAGAATTCACAGGCCTCTCTTCTATACTTCCACTGTAGGAGGGTCTAAATATCGAATTCGAAGAAATTCATTTACCTTTCATAGAGTGATATTAAATTTACTTACTTCATGGTACAAAAACCAATCAACATATAGCAGAAATGTTGAAACGGATTTACTGGGTTGGAAAACAGTGGGAAGATACGAATACCTTTTTATAATACCAGTCGGTCCACCAGGACCGACAAGAACTCCTTTGTTGCCAGGATACGATGCTGGTACAATGGGTCTACTGTTAGGACCGTAAGGTCCCGAGTTTTGTGGTCTGAATCCTATCAAAGGTCTCTCGTGGTCGAAATCTGCTGGGTTTTCGTTCACCTGGTACCTATAACTGAACCAAATACGTACAAAAGAATAATCTTTTCAATATAAAACTCGAGCAACGTTCGGAATTGACTTTATTCTTTCGTATTCGTTTGAATCTTTTGTAAGAAAAATTAAAACATACTCGGTTTCATCCAACCTGTCCTGTTGTTCCTCGTCTTTTCTCCAAACCCAATCATCGTTTTGCGAGTTGACAAGCACAGTCAAACAACTAAGTAAAAACAAACACTTCATATTCTTCGGTAAAAAGAATTCTTCGATGAGAAGAAAATGGTCGAGTGTTTCGCAAGATGTGTGCGTCACTGATCAGCTTCTCCGGCGAATATCACTGGCACACGACTGAAACGAGAATGAAAGTGAATCGTCGCTTTATATATATGCACCGTGGAAAGGTGAACGCACCTCCTGTGTTCCACACACGATCCGAGGTCCTTTAGATAACCATCTCGAATCAACAGTTTTCGCCCCGGGGATGATTCACCCTTGCTATCGTGCCAAGATTTTCGGTAAACGGTTCAAAGGTCAAAGATTTATCAGAGAGATGGTGAAATTGGCCCTGAATTTAAACCTATTGGAAATTTATAGATGTTACTTTGATTGATATTTTGTTTTTGCAAATATTTCAATAAATAGAATAAGAGGTATTTAGGAATAATTATTTTCCAAATTTCAAGCTTTCTATTTGTTATCTTACATCACTTTGGAAAGGTGTCCGAGTAAAAGGAGGAAAAGAGAAACGTAAGAATGTGTAATGCATGGAAACTAGTGTCTCTCAGACGTCCTTCGATCTGGGAAAATCCGTTGCTTCGAGAAGGGGAAGTGTACCGATTACAGGTGGTTCTTTGGCCTCTTTCTTTTGCACAAAATCCAGCGAAATTGCGTAATACGACGATTCTTCCACGCAACTTGGTTCTGCCACGAAGGACGTCTATATTGTTTCTGATTCAGACCCAACGATCACTGCCAATCTATTTTTTTATCCCTGAAAAAAAAATTGAATTAATTCAATATTAATAAGATATTGGTCAAGGTGACGTTGGGATAAGTGTTCGAACAAAATCTCACCACTTGACCCAGGCATTACGGTTATCGAGTCAGAGACGTTAAAAGGACAGAGAAAACCGCATTACAGTTGAATTACGCGATGAAATTCTCGATAGAACGAAGGAAACGACGTGCCACTTTGAACCTTCCCGTAATCTCGTTTCTGAAGAAGCCACGATCGAACGAAAATCCAATGATCAAGGTCATTTTCACCGTGCGACTCTGACCACCGAGAAAATTCACTTTTCCTCCAGCAGAGGAAACTACCACCTCCTTCATTATTTCCTTTCCTTCGATTCTTACGTTCTTCATATTTCTGCCATCTCTTCCATTAAACCTCTCGCAGAATCGCGGGAACTCTTCTTCCCTGAAAAAATAAAAAAACCTAGCAAATAAAGGACGAAACAAAGAAATTCAATCGCAACCTTTTCTCACCGTCTCTGCGTTCCATCGATTGATTCTTGTCTCCGTCCGGCGGATATGATCAATCTTCCTCCTCTTCCTGAACTCTCTCTTTTCTTTTCCTCGGTTCCCTTAAGTCACCGAATTACCTTCGCTAATTAAAATCATCAAGATAACGGAGTTCTTCACCTTGAAGATATTATAATCGCTAGGAAACGTACCTTGCCGAAAGGTAGAATGACCTTGACCCAGACTGATGAATGAGTTACCGAAGAATGGATGGTTGATGATCGTTGCGAAATCTGTTGGAGGCTGAACCGACCTTCAAGCTTCTTCCTAAATATTCTCATTCCTGACCTTGCGTGCGATCTAAAATTCAAGATTTAAGAATGAAATTAGGTTCGGTTAACTTCCCACGATCGTCCCTGGTAGAGTCGAACGTTCGGGATTAATTGTCCGCGTTATGTAATCCGGGAAATTACGCAAGGCTAATGGAGCGTTTCCCAACGACAGGATACGGTCACATCGCCCCGAAGACGAAGAACGGAAAAGTCGTGACCATATTCTACGCCATCCTCGGTATTCCCTTGATGTTACTCTGCCTCTCCAACATCGGGGACATTATGGCGTCGAGTTTCAGGTAACCGATCGTTCCCAAAGCGACGTTACACATTTCTCTATCAGCAGTTAACACCGAAGGTCCCCTATGAAACTCGAGTCCACTTACGGAGATGGGAAACTGGAACGGAAAACATTCTTTGATTATAATTTTTATAATTTACTCTTCAGGTTTTTATACTGGAGGGTGTGTTGCTACGTATGCACGAAACCACCGACCAAGAAGAGACGACCGAGGTCTCATTTCGGAAGATCCCATTCCGTTCGACAGCCAGGGTAATTATTTACCAAGTGAAGTAATTAAGCGTATTTATAATGAGAATAAATATTGAAAGGCGGTACGGGGCTAGCAGAGGAACCTTTCGAAGATCCATCAGAATGAGTCAGAGGTCTGCGGATTCGGCTTTGGGTCTGTCCGATTACATGACGAGGTCCTCTTTCTCCGACACGGAGTACAAGTATGAAATTTTTACATTTTCAGATTCAACAATCTCGAAATAAAAATATTTGCAAATCCAGTTTCCCTTGGAAGACTGTTCCTTTTATATAAATATCGACTCGGCGAAATAAAATAAAATGTATTCCTTTCAATGGAGATACAACCCTCGCCGGTACGAGGATAACGATCAGAAGAGACCGTGCCCTTATCCCTCGGTGAATCCGAATTTCGGATTCAAGTCAGCCACGGTGAGCAGGTACTCGGATCTACCCGTGCCCAGCCCGAAAACAACCAGAGGTAAATCTTCTCCGAGACAGCTATTTTATACGAATCTAAACGACGATCGTATTCAGCCAGTCCCAAGATGACCACGCAATCGCTGGACAGGAAGTTGGTGATGCGTTCGTTCCCCGACACCGATCGCTCGGCCGTTCTGTGCAACAGATACGCCTTGGACGAACTGGAGAACGAGCTGCGACGATGGCAAACTTCCACCGGAAACGAAGGTAAGCGTGCCACATTCACGTTGCGCAAGGTGTTACGAAGAAAAATAAAATTGCAGATGAAAAAAAGAATAAACCAGACACTCCCGAGGACGACGTTAAACGCGCACCATTGGCCAGCAGGTCGTTACCCAGGAGATGTCTGTCGATGGAAGGCGCTACCACCAATTACAAGACGAATTTAGCGCCTCCTCTAAGACCACCTTCCATTTATTTGGAAATGGAGAACGGGAGGAGAGGTCAGAGTATTAGGACCAAGCGTTACAGAAGCAACTACCCTGTTGGTAAATGGAAAAGAATATTTTTTATCAAATTTATAAGAGTCAAAATAGGCATAGCACATATGGATTTTTGGAACTAAGTATTTGTATAAAAACGAAGTTTTTCTATATATATAGCAATAAAATCCATTAGTCAAATTAGGCAATATAGTGTTAACGAGATTGTATTTCAGCTCGGACTTACAGACGAGAGTCATTAGCACCGGATATGATACCAGCTAATTATCCCGGGCATAGACAAATATATCCTGACGAATTCGATTCCGATTACGAGTATTACATCGAGGACCAGGAAAGGAAGCCCATCAAACCAGTGCCCATCTGGTTATGCGTGTTCCTTGTGGTCAGTTACATTTTCGGTGGTGCATTTTTGTTCAGCGCCTGGGAACACTGGCCATTTCTCGATTCCGCTTACTTTTGCTTCATCACTCTCACCACAATCGGTTAGCATATTCCATCTTCAATTTTCTACGAATTTTTATTCCAACATTTAATTACAGATTAAAGTATATGTTTGCCTCAGGATTCGGCGATTTCGTCCCGGCGTATAAGCTGGACGCTCACAAAGGGATCGCGGTTTGCTCGTTGTACTTGCTATTTGGAATTGCTTTGCTGGCGATGAGCTTTAATCTGGTGCAAGAGGAGGTCATCAACAACGTGAAGAACGTGGCGAAGAGGCTCGGGATCATCAAAGAGAGCGACGACGAGGAAGATGCCGAGGACCTAGACGCGTACGACGTCGAATACAACGACGAGGTCGACAACGAGCAGCTCGAGGGCTACGTCCTCGATAGCCCTCGATGTCACTCGATGCCTCGAAACCCTCGCGGAATTTCCATCGCGTAGCGTCCCGAATTTCTTTCATTCATCCACCCTCGCTGCTATGACACCGTTCCTTTCAAAATCCGACCGTTAATTAAACTAATAGCCAGTTCGTTCGAACAGAAATTTCTTTTTTCATTTAAATCAGAAGATGGATGAATTTACAGGGTGACGTTTTGAAATTTCTTTTTTTTATAATTGAACGGGTCAAGGTGCAACGTCCTTTTCCTGAACAAAGTCCCAAGTCTGTACCGGGTGTCCAGGAAGTTGGAATCCGGTCAGGGACGGCCAGCTTGGATCCGGTTATTTTTAGGGTGCTGCTATTTTCGGTCACTGTGTCGAAGCGGCAAGGAATCAGTGCACGAGGAAAGCTCGAGGAAGTAGCTCGTTTTCACGCAATTATTGAGAGAAAAATACGGTAAAGAGTTTCGCATCGAAAGGAAATTAGAACGGTATCTCAGTTCAGGGAAGAATATTCTTTAAATCGCGCTAATAATTAATAAAATCTGAATAAATTATGGTACATCAGGCATGGCTGTTTCTACTGTAACACCTAATTCATTAATCATGAAAGTGAATAAATCTGTAAGAAAGTGTTGAATGAACGACGGAAAATGATCTACAAGAAGAAATCAGGGTGCAGCATGGGTGGACACGTGTCTGTCTCGACGAACGTGTCGCTCTAATGAAATGAAAAAATTCAATCAAGGGATAAGAGGTGAAATCTGATCGATCAGGATTCCTCTTGATCTTGTCACGTGGCACGGTTTTGACTTTCAACGATCCTCTTTGGCCGGGTCGTAAACGGTTTCACAATAGATTTCGTTAAGCGGTTCGTGGAACGCGTTTTCGATTCTCCGAGTGAAGCAAGTCGATACCAGATACTTGAACGATATAATAGGTATATATATATATATGTAATTCGTGAAAGCAGAAAGGATGGCAGATAGGACGGATAGTAATTTTCTATCGCGTCGGGTCAGCGATCGTTGACTATAATCTTGACCTCTATCCCTTCTTAGCATTCCATCCTGTCCTCCCTATTCATTTATCTGGAACGGACTGGTGAAACCGACTGTCCGACTTTATCTAGGAAAAGGGATCTCTTCTGGGAACTGAAGGGCCGGAAGTGAATCGGACGTTTCCAATTGCTCGTTCAGGTATGATTCCGAAGAAAATGACAATCTTGAAACGTTTAGATAAACCGTTATATTATGTTATTAAAATTTTGGAAAATTGAATTTAAAAAAAAAGAAGAAAATTCCAAGCTCCTCTTACTACCGGCATTGTATACCAGATCCCCGGTCTCGTTCCTTTTTCTTTTTTTACGATGCTACCGAAATACTTTCGTGACGATGCACGGGTACGCCTGGGCGAATTTCACGTGTCTGAAATTTTCATCCGCGACGGGGCGCAACAAAGTCTAGCCGCGTCGTTACGCAAGAAACTTCGAAATTACGCTTCTTCCCGCGGCCACGCGTTTGTTAAATTTACGATCAGTTCGTTAACCCGGCTAACCGACTCGCTGGAGGCGTTCAAGCTGGCTGGTAATTTTGCAATTAGCTGCTCCGTTCCCATCCACCTTTTCGACTCCCTTCTGTCACCTTCCACGGTTCCCTGTATTACTCATCGAGGATTATTCGTCGGTCCGTGTAATTTTCGATTTCTGTCAGAATGCTGTTCGAGTAGTCCAGCAAGTTGCTGAATCGGTCGGGAAAGAAGCGAAGAGTGGAAGAAAACTAGCGGCAGATATCTGAAATAGCGGCAGGAAAGATGGAAGGGGATCGAGCATCGTACTCGACGTCGAACAGAAACTGGCAGGGTGGAAGTTATCGTAGCCGCGGCGGAAGGAGAAGAAAACGAAGACGGAAACCGTGGGCCGAGAGGATAGCTGACTGGACCAGGGCTCTGATAGCCTTCCTCTTCAGCAACGTCGGTATAGTGTGCCTGGTGGTCGGATATACCATAGCCGGCGCCTTCCTTTTCACCCACATCGAGGGTAGAAACAGCATGGACGTAACCGGGGACGCGATCAGGCTGAGAAACCTGACAGCTGCCACCCTATGGGAGCTTACCTCGAAGGTGACGAGTTACTTCTCTCATCGATTCATCTTACACATTTTCTCTTTCCGCTAGTTTCCTCGACTTTTAAACACTCTCGAAATATGCTGTTCCTCCCTCTAATGTTCTTTCCATCTCTCGTACCTAAATCCTCCAACTGTTTATTTGTGTTCCCCGCGTTTAGGAGAACGTGTTCTCCGAGAGGATCTGGAAGGCTAAAGTGAGGGCGATCCTAGAGAACTATCAGAAGATGCTGGTAACAGCTGTAAAGAATGGGTACGATGGGTCCGAGGAGAACAAGAGATGGAGCTTCGCCGGCGCTTTTCTCTATTCTCTCACGGTCATCACTACGATCGGTAAGCGCGGATAACGATATCATTTGCTTGGCTCCATAAGAGAATTTGTGGATGGCTGGAAAAAGTAGTTACTAGAATTATTTACGAAAGCGTACGACCGAGGGTAGTTTCCCTCGCGCGAAGTTTAATGTCTCGAGTCCGACGAGCTTCCGGCTCGAGTAATCCAGCTGGCAAAAAGAATGGTTAATGCCGAAAAGAGAAACGCGCACACGAGTGGCCTTTTACGTTTGAAACGTACTTAGTAACTCGAGCGGGAACAGCAGATTTGAAAGTTCAACGTGGACAGTCCGAGCGAAGTAATTTATTTACGAGTCTATACGGACGCGTCTTTGCGAGTGTATTTTTTTTTTTACGAGAAAACCGAAAGAAAATCCTGGAATTTAATTATGCCAGTTTCGTATTTCCTCGGTGAAATGGATTTTCGTGCAGGACGGTCGGCGAGCTACGAATCATACAGGGGGAGGGATTCGTTAGACCGGAAATTAATTAACGCTCGAACTCCTGAGATTAACGAAGCTACTCGAAAGGTGATCTTAATCAATTTTCCGATTGATACGTCTCCCGTTTCAGGATTAATTAATCCCTCGATTCGATTCATTTTCTTGAAAGAATATCCCTCTCTTTTCTCCGCGAAATTATTCCCAATCGGAAGGACATCAATTAGACGAAAATGCGACGAGATTCGTTGGCCATTGTTGGCCGAGTTTAAGGGACGAAATCGATAACGAGGCAGATTGGTTTACACGGTAGACTTTACTCGTGTTTACCTGCAAGTTTGCTCCTAGTTGCAGAAATTCTGCTCTACACGATCGTTTCGATATTATAGACCTACTCTCTACCTAAAGCCTACCAAGTTTCGTCGAATTGTTGTCTTAAGGTTCGTTTACATTTGCGGACAGGACAAATGTTTCTTAATGAAAGCATTTCGATTCAAACACTTTTGAAAGTAGGAGAAGTTTAAGCGAAAACATGGAGAAATTTATTCTTTCCTTGTGAAAAAAAAAAATATTCGTACGCATGTTTGCGAATGTGTAAATTACACTTTCCGCGGATTACTTTTGAAACAAACCATTGGTGTAATATCTTTTCATTGAAATGCAGATTTTTTTCCGTTCTACATTGCAAATTTCTTCGGAGAAGTGGTCTCTCGTACAGCGATATGAAACGTTTTTTTTTCATCAAAACGTTGCTTCTTTCTTCCCCAATTTTTTTTTTCCTTCCTTTTTCCCTCCGCTCGAGATTTTTCATTTCAGTGTCGAAAGAGTTTGAATGGACCGATCAGTGTCGCTAAATATAGAGAAGCACGGAATCGTTGGTTAGAAGAAAGTCGATTGTAGGGGCTCGACCTTCGCTCGACGATCTTTCGAGGTCACCGAGTATATGAGTCAATTAATTTCCGATTCACCGTCGTTGACCGTGTTTCTGAAGGACGTGTTTAACGCTAATCCGCGTCAGCTTCTTCCTTCGAGACGGACGTTAAATCTTCGAATTCACCGAAAACTTGCATTAACAAATACACAGTTGTCAGTCTCGATTAATCAATTGTTTATAGGATCTTTAGGGAAACAAAAAAGAAGCATCGGGTTAGATTCCAGCAGGTGCGATGTTTCCCATGGGAAAGAACTGTTTCGTCGAGCAAAGCCGTCGGTGCTTTTGTTCCCGATGCCGATTTCGATCGGTCCAATTGTTCACAATGGACTTGTACGACGATCGTTCAGCAATTTTTTGTCGGCTCAAAAAGCCTATAATACCCAGTCCTGTGTCGGGTATATCAAATTTGTATAGTCGAAAGAATTATTGACGAGTTAACTCGTCATACTCGGTTAATGGGTTGAACATCAAATGGAAACTTAGAGGATCCTTTTCCATGGGATTCGCTTGGAGGTAAACGCGACCTCCTGGGTGCAAATCATTGCAGGATGAAGAGGATGCAAGAAGAGCGGCATAAAAATTCCATTGTACTTTTTCTTTTTTTTCCATAGGAACGACTCGATATTTCTTTTTTACACAAAGGCCAGCGAAAGCAGCTTGGGCAAAGGGTTAGATAGAGGGAATTAACGAGGCGAACTTTCGGCACGTTAGTGGCGTGGTCGCGCGCGCACGCGACCTTTTAATTAATTCCACGAGGGGGAGGGAGAGGGGTCCCTCTCGTCGCTCCGCCGTCCCTCGGTCCTCATCCGGTTCGAGACGAGACCCTGCCATCCACTTTATCTCGACCGTGATTACAGGCCAGCAGCATCAGCCTAAAAGGGTCGGCCAGTCGACGGCCAGATCGATTCTCGCGAACCAACCCCCTTCCCTCTTTCCCCACCCACGATAACCGCTTTTGAAACGCGTGAAAATTTTCAGTCCTCCTGACTTATCGCCGATTCGGAATAAGACCGATGGCGGTAACATTGGGTCGCGATAGGATATCGCGGTATAAAATTGAAAAGGGATTCTTTCGAATGAAATTTAAGAGACGGTCATTCGTTTCGAGTGGTGGATTAATATCGGGGACAATTTAGTCCGGGTACGCGGGTAATAACTTCGGGGATAGGTTGAAATTTTTTAGAGTACCGCGCGAGAGTCATCGTCCCGTAAAGTCGATAAATTATAATAACGGGTTCGATTTTATTGGAGCCTGCGTTCCGTTCGCGTGCACAAACGCAGCCCGCCAATTTTCCGACGCACGAATGGTTAACGAAAACTCGGCCCATTGGAGAAAAATCAGCCATGTCGCTTTATTAATTGCCGCGATCCGCAAATATCAGCTCGCTGAATAAGTTCTGTCCGAAAACACGCGGAGAACGAAACTTTACAAGGCGTTCGGTTACGTGCGAGCAGCGTTATTTGTGATAATATTTTCGAAAGGCTACAGATTTTTAGTAAAATCTGGGTCAAACGTAGAGTCACGTTGCAAGGAATGAAATAATATTATTTTTTCAGCGAAAGTATGTACGGACAGAACTTATACAGCGGGCTAATATTTAAAAATAACAGAACGAAGAATGAAAGCGTCTGCGACGCTTCGTTTATTTAGCGAACGGGAGTGCGCGTTTTTAATGCATCGGTTGCTTCCAGCGAACGAGAACCACCCACACCCCGCGCCCATCGTCACCGGTGAAATTTATTCGGGAAACCTTCACGATTTTACCTGGACTTTTCCCGGTTCCCTGCTAATCGTACGAAAATTTCATACCCAACTCCCTCGTGGACGTAGTTTCGAACCAAATGGAACTATCATAGTTCTGAATGGATAATATGTACACGATCAAATATTCATCGGAACGAGCTGATTACATATTTGATAAGGACAGGTTTTAATATTTTAAAAATCCATTTTACAGGCTATGGAAATATTTGTCCAAAGACGAAATGGGGCAAAGTGGCGACCATAGTGTACGCCATAATAGGCTTGCCACTTTTCCTCCTCTATTTGAGCAACATCGGTGACATTCTCGCGAAAAGCTTCAAATGGACGTACGCTCGTTGCTGTCTCTGCAAGTAAGCCTGTCTATTAGTAAATTTGAAGCCGAAAATTTGAAATGAAATAATTCCGGATTGAAGGTGTCGCAGGAGGCCCCACGAATTCGCAGTCAGGCCTCAACAGGAGGGTGGTGATGTTAGGAGAAATCATTGGCAGGTAAATCTCGATCAGCCTTTTGTATTTTTAGCAGGAAACTCTGATATGATATCAACGCTCGTTGGCAGATGATTGACGCGAATGGCAGGGAAATCGATTCGTTCGACGTGGACAAGATCTCTTTGGAAAACGACAGGGTGGAAGAGGGTGATAGAAACGACGAAGACGAGGAGGATGATGACGACAGTAGCAGTTACGATCCGCAACGCGTCACCGTCCCTTTAACCCTTTGCGTCGCGATAATGGTTGGGTAAGCGTCGATAATCGAATAATTAGATTGGCAATTGAATTTTTAATATTAACATTTTTCCCATAGAATTAATTGTGGAAATTTTGGATTATGGAAATTCTTGTTGGATAATTTACATTTTCCGTTATTATACTTGTCTAATTACCTACTGTCCTCATTCTACTTGTCTCCCCATCTCATTGTCCTGTCTGACAACGTAGACCACCTATTCTGTCTGACCATACATCGACCTATTCCACTTGCCCGACTAGCAACCCCTTTAAATCAACATTTCTCTATTTCCACTACGATTTCATTCGCTTTAATATCGTTCCAAGCACTGTTTCCTTTTTTTTAATAAGAAAAAAGACTAACCAGTTACGAAATAGTGTAAGGAACGTATATTTCTCTGGTTGGAAACGACTTTTCCAGATACATCTGGGGCGGTGCGATCCTCTTCTCCGAATGGGAAGACTGGAACATGCTGGACGGTTCTTATTTCTGCTTCGTCTCCTTGTCGACCATCGGTTTCGGGGACATCGTGCCAGGTGACAAAATCTACGCCGCTCAGGCTCTCGATTTATCCTTCATCTTCTGCTCCATGTACCTGATGCTCGGTGAGTGACATCGCGAACGAATCTACTCGATTTTATTTTATATACGAAACGGTGTAAACAAGTATGGAGAAAAATAAAATATCCTCGATACTTGGGTGTAATTTGGCAAAGCGACGATTGGATTCTGCTTGATTTCCGATGGAACAGGTTGTCGCGCGATGATCCTTTCAATTTTTCATCGATGGAAAAAGAAAATCCTCGATTACCGTGTAGTTTGTCAAATTTTCCAGACGCCTGGTATCGTCGCGACGCTTAATGAATCGAGGGCCAAAGTGCCGCGAAGCGTGTCAAGGGTCAGAAGATCGATCGCTTTTCATTCTCCCCACCCGCGGAGGTCCTTTCATACCTAGCGAAACTAAACTCTGACACTAGCGCGTGAATTCTTCTCGGAGCTGACGCGAATCGAGTAGCTTGATATTTCTTTTTTTTTTTCCCCCACGCCTTCTTTCAACGCTGAAAGAGGCTTTTGAAGCGTCGTTTTCGAGTGGCGAACGAGATTCCGATAACTGTTTCATGATTTAAAAGCATCGATTTAGATTATTGCGATGATGTTAGAACGCTTTCATTTATCAATCCGGGCTGAATTACTTTGCCAGAGTGTGATACACGGTTGTATCGATACCTATTTCATTTTCTAACGTTCCGTTTGATGCGTTACAGGAATGGCGTTGATCGCGATGTGCTTCAATCTAATGCAAGAGGAGGTGATTGCAAAGGTGCGCGCATTCCTGCGTACCATTAAATATATATTCAGATGCGACAGGTGACCAAAGCCGACCATCAGCCACGTTCTACACCTTCTACCATGTTTGGTGAGTTTTGTTTTTAAATAAAATTAAAGGAAACGTCGCCTTCGAGAGAATAATAATTCAGGGATTCATTAATGAATTATCGTCGATAACGAAGCATTCACCGCCGTGTTCAAATTAACACGACGACGAAATTCATAGGGATGAAATGAAATATTATTTCGACGAATATAATAAGACTGGAATACTGGGTCACAGTGATTCGTCCCGAAAAAAAAAGGGGATTCGAAATCAAAGACGATTACGAGCGGTTGTCCGAAGGGATGGGCGCGTGAAAATTATGATTCTATCGGCTGACTGGCTTGACGGAGACGTCTGTTACACAAATAGGGGATGGAAAGGTTTTTCTTTCTTTCATGGCTCAGTCCACGGGAAAAATGTGAAAGGGTGGAAAGCTTGAAAGGGGAGAAAAATAAAGGGAGCACAATCGTCGAAGGTACAAAGAACTCATCTTTGCAATCCCAACGCCTGGCTTTGCCGAAAAAACATCTAGAAGGGGTGAGAAAAGAGGGTGGAAAATGCGGGCTTCTTATGAAATATATTCGGAAAGAAATTTGTACGTTTATCCGGAGACCGGTCTGAGTAATTAACGCAGCTATTGTTAAGATTTCTTCGTTAACCAACGGTTGCTAATTAAATTCGACGAGGTGAAAATAAGTTTCAATTTATTAAATCAATTATTAAAAAATTAACTCGGACTAATCTCTCTAAAATCAAAGAAGGTTTCCAAAGTCTCCGAATGAAACACATTGACGAAATATTAGAGAACCAGTTTTCTTCGAGATCGGGCTAGAAATTGGAGGCATCGTACGATACCGATCACCGATGGAATCATTCAAATCGATCACCCCCAATTCAACAATTTCATCACTTCATCATCCCTATCTTTCAATCTCCATCGGAGCCGGCTCTCTCAAAGCAGAAACCCATCAATCTCCTGGTGGTAGCTCGATGGCAAGCGAACCGCGTACCGCCTCATAAAGCGACCAATCAAGAGGGAGATCAAGCCGAAAAGATCACAAGCATAGCCATCGAGTGTGTGGCCTCGGCCTTTGACGTCTCTCCAGCCGTACGTTCCTCGAAGAAGACGAAAAAGACGCGCGACAGAGATCCCTTTCGCGAGGGTGAAGGGTGGTGGTGGTGGTGGTGGTGGTGGTGGTGGTAACGAAGGGGTGAGAAAACGATAGGGGAAGTTGTAACGGGGCTGCGGCGTTCCTTCATGCGGTGATCGGACCGCACGAGGTAGCGGATGCGCAGTGAACCATTGGTACCAGTGCGCATGCGTCGTGTGCGCCCTTCTACGGGGTGCGTCCGTGCCGGCGACGCTGTTCATGGACGGTGGACAGTTCTCACGGCACTCGACGAACGTCGTTCCTCGTTCAATCGACGGAATACCATTATTAGACCTCGAAATCGTGTCCATCGAGCCTAACGATCCACCAGATGTCCTGATCGCGTCCATGTCCGCTCGGGAACCGCGTCGCGTCACCGGGTTCTCCGAACACGCGATCCCGGCCAGAGGATGCTGCGAGCGGATGCAGCGTGAAACAACGTGGCTGTCCGTGCCGAACGAACCTCTGAATGGGTCTGACAGAGGCGCGTCATCCCGCAAGCTGACGTCCGAAGAAACTGATCCACCGAGTCTCATGGTAATCGACTTTTCATAAAAAAAGATGGGAGAATCATGGTGGTACCGGAACCGGAGATGAATCTCACCTCGACCACGTCCTTTTTCCAAGAGCCAAGCAGAAACTGTTGATCAGTGTCCGAAGAAGTGTCCGATTCAGAAACAGATCCCAAAGTGTTTCCTCGGCCCCGAGTGAGTGCTTGGATTCGGTCTCGTTTCACAGATAGATTCTTCTGGCCGAGATTTCGCAGGAGCAAGTTTCCTGGAGATTTTTCAGGCATAGGGGAGATCCCTCGGTTCTGTGGATCCCAGCGAACAACTGGGAAAAGTTTGTTCCGCTTTGGCGAGCCGATATGCCTCGCGAAACGGCCGTGGGAAGTTGAGCTCTGCCACGATACGGACCGAAGGGCGATCGCTGCTAAGGTAAGTAGCAAGTTACCGGGCGAGTTTCGAAGAAACTTTTTCGAATGTTTCCGAATCGATGCACCACCACCACCACCACCGCCGCCTCCACCACCGCCGTTACCCTCGGCACGATTTTTATCGCGTTGCCGCAGTTCCGGAGATACTTTAATAGACATCGAGCTTGTTGAAATTATTCTTCGGAACAGGGAAATTAAGCGTAGCCGGTTTGTTAATCGACGCTGATTGAAATTCGAGAGGTAATTTGATTGGACACGGGGCCCGGTCACGCGATATCGGGCTGATTTGTGGCAGATCTTGTTACCCGTTCGATGATCTGTTAATTTCGCGTTAGATTCTTTGACAGAATCGTTTGTTCAAATTTCTACTAAATTTGCAGCAATAAAATGTGCTTTTTCTTTTATTTCGAACAAGCCACGTTGCTGATAATATTGGAAATTTAATCTTAAGTTTCTGGAAGTTCTAAAGTATTCCTACGCTCCGAACTGACATAACAACCTGTCGCTCGGATAAATTTAATTATTATGATTAAACTAAAAATGTTTATCTCGCGCAGAATGAACTAAAATTCATACGGTATAAGAGCTACAGAAGGTTCATAGTTCTCTGTTGAGTTTCATTTTAAAATTGAAATTTATACAAAGATTTATTCCATTATTCAATAACCAGATCCTCAGTGCTCTCAATGAGTAATGAAAATTCCATTTTAAAATATGATTAAAACAGATGATCTTTCCAGGATATTAAAAATAAATACTATATTTTTAACTGAAACACATTCGGTGATAATTTAATTAAAACGAGCTTAAACTTAAAATATCCAGTTTCGTTCAGTTTGGTAAACTTCGTTAATGTTTCAGTCAAGTTTCCATCGAAAGGACCCCCCTGTATAACGGTGTATTTTCGTGGATAAACGAGGAAACGTTTCGCGATTCATAGAATATCCAGTGGAGAGGTCGATTCGAGTAGAGATCGACGTTTAACTTTTCACGCTCCCGGGTGGAGGCGAAGTAATTTCGCCCGGTTGTCCCGTTCGTTCTGTTAACAGCTTTCGATAAATGTCCCGTCTTTGTTGCCCTCGTCCGGTTCGTTTTACGTTCGCCGATTCGTCAGCGAAACTCGCTTTTATCGAGGAGTGACTTTTACCGTCGAAAACCGATTCCTTTCTCTCCCGTTCTTAATGCTTTTCCGCGTAATGAGAATCCCCGACGAGATTCCATCATCCATTCTGTCGGTTTTTATTTTTATTATTCGCCATTTATTTCGTAAAACGGTGGCTAAATAATGATCCATGGAAATCATCTATTCCAATATCGTACAATGTGCTACCAAGAAGCAATATCAAGTTAATTCTTTCCCAAGCCTTTCAACCATCATCAAAGATCCTCCCCATGGAAGTTACGCTTTCAAGGGTTTCGAAAGTTTTGACGAGGCCGATAGCGTAGAAGGAAAGTTTAAAAAATTGATTCACCCGCTTCAATTACGTATTAAAATTTCTTACAAAGGGCAAGTATATTCGAGCGAACAGAAACGAAAGAAAATTAACATCCCCGTCGATCTTCTGGCAGAAGGAGTTTTAAAACGAACAAACGAAAAATAATATCCCCCATTAATGATTCTCAGATTGTTACACGCGTTCTATATTTTCCAATTGCAAACGAAAAGGATCGCCACAAAGGCAGATGTTTTCGCGTAACAAATAATTCCATCTTTTGTTGGCCGACCAATGGGACAGGTTTGCCGATCCGTCAGTGAAAATTCGCTTTTTTTTTTTTTAGTCGTAAAAGCGCAGGCGTCACTCGCGCATAGATAATTCATAATGACGATGCTGGCCTATAGTTGTTCCGGCAAACGGAAACCAACCCCCGTCCTCAACTTTCTTCCAGCGACCCTTTTCTGTCTTCCTTTTTTTTTTTCCTTTTTTCTTTCTTTTTTTTATTTCCTTGCTTACTCCGACCAAGCTTTTTCTACATTCGGCTCGTTTTTTATTCACGAGAGGAGGCAGAACTTGTAGCCTGTGGCGAGGATCTTTTAACGTAATTGGTTGCCGTACGCCACGCTCCACTTTAAGCGGGAAATCATAAGTGATATTGTTGTTTGTTTGTTCTCTTTGAATCAAGCATTCACGGCTATGTTTTCAGATGACTATTGAACATGTTGGCTAAATAAAAAATGGAAGGGAATAGTGGGAATGGAAATTTTGATACCGAGCTAGGTCAATTGCGACCCAATGGTACTTGAATTAAAATTCAATATTTATATTCTTAATAATGTTATTTACAACATCTGAAAGTAAATATGTTCATTCAGACATGTTATTCGAAGTAATAATCGATAGAATAACAAAACAAGTAGAAAACATCGAAATTTATCAGACAATTATATTAAAAAATGAAAATTCTTCACAAAAGCTTATATGTTTCTAAAGTTCCCTCTATTTTGAACAACTTTTCCCTGAGACAATATTCAAAATAATGCACGTGTGAAAAATTATGGCGAGAAAAGTGGAGGTTGAAATACGTCTGACCATATACTGATCTCTATCCCTTGCGCCCCAGTGTTCTCCTCCTCCCTTTCACTTCCTGGTCAAGTTAATCATAGTTTACTATATCCGCTCGTGTAATTCGATGCTATATGTTATTCACCACTATTTTATCGTTGGATATTAAAAATTTCAGAAGGATCCAACCGATGTCGCGTGTTCCTGTCGCGTTGAAACCCTTCGGGAAAGTGGAACGTCTCTCTCGAGACTTTCGACGCTTTCGAATCCTTTTCAGTCCAGCCTGGTAAATCGTTAAATCCTTCAAGACTTCTCGATCATTCGGCAAAGTAGAAAGCAAACAGGTCTGCCAGGCGTCAAGTGGAAAACTCTGTTCGACCGTGAGATTAGTTCTCCGATAGCACGGTACAGTCTTATTTATTTAAGTAACTCCATTAGCGTTCGAAGATTTAG